CTCAACCAGACAACACATAAAAGCCTAAATCAGCAAGCGTAAAATGAGAAGCTACTAGGGCAATTGTGTCGGCTCTAGACTTTTGCTAGAGCACTGCAAACCGTGCAGCACATAGTTCAACATTATTTCAAATCGATCAAAACAGCCGATGATCAGTAAACAAAATAAAGTGGCTTTCGCTCATGTGCCACAACTTCATATAGGCTAGTGCCAGATTAGTGCACATTAATGTTTTGCATATCATGTTCCTAAGAAAACACATAGATAAACAACATAATAACATGCCAACCGTTACCAAATTGTTTTCAACACCAATTCACTAGGGAAATAAAGCATTCTGAACAATCAACATTGATGTTTTGAGAAATTTGGCACATGACAGACTCAGAAGGTGGATCCATTCCATCCAAAGTTGGAACCCTGCCAAATAATCAAAGTATCAGCACTATCAAGCAGCAAGTGCCACAAATGAGTGCTAAATATCATCACAGGCTAAAGAAATGGTATAACTTGGACTCACAATAAAGCTAATGGGAGCAATGCTCACAGTATGAAACAGAAAAGATTTATTTACATTATCTAGTGCTGATGTAAAGCATGCAAACACTGTGCATATTCTTGGCTTTGGTGTGCCTAAACAAACAGGGAAATGCAATGAGAAGGAGACAAATAGAACAATGACCCATCATCCGGACGATTAAGAAAGAAGAGATAGCTTGCCTTAGTGTCATAGAATTTGAGGAAGAACCGTGACTTAGGCACTTGTAGCTTGGTTTCAAGAATTGCAGCAATTGCAGCACTCAGTTTCTTGTTCACGTCTGGGTTAAGGCCACCAATGGACACCAACTCACCATAGGCAGCTGGCTGCTCAGTACCACCAAATGACATGGGCACCGAACCCTTCAACACAATCATCACATACTGCATCTCAACAGCAATAAATTAGTAATGTTTCATTCCATGGATGAACTTGCAATACTGAGAACAATATAAAGTTCCTTCTAGTTTGTTAATAAGATGCAGAAACAACAAAGGACGAAAGCAAGAGTATTCGAACAAGAACATGGATGACTTGAACCAAGAGCATACTTCTTTCACATATCAAAAGCCTCTTTCAAAATCAACAAAAGGAAGTAGAGTTTAGAATAATGCTTCCATATCTGTGAGATAAGTGAGTTATAGCTCTTTTCTAGTATCAACTGGCCTTGGTTCAAGGGGTCTTAGGATGATAAAGTGCAAAAATACAAGTTTCGGTCTTGAAAGCAGCTACTTAAGCAGACATCCAAAAGGGGACTACCCTCGAAGACCCCATTGCAAAGAAATCCTTAACTGGGTAATGATCCTTAATCACTAACAGTAACAGGATTTTACCAAATAGGATAAATTTTATACACCCAACACCAAGACTACCGCACCATACCCAGACAGCAATATTTCCCATTTGAACTAGACTCACTCACCTCAGATTATGGATATTCGAGGCAGGAGGAGGGAGGGCTAGTGGGCCCCCAACAATTTTAAAAATTTTATAACTTCCCTTTATTTTTTTAAAATTTTATAATTTTGTCCCCTTTAAAAATTTTAAAATTGTTTTAATATATTTTTATTAGTTTATAATTTTATAATTTCACCCTTACAATAATTTTTAATTTGGTGAGATGCCCCACAACAGTCCATCAATAACTAATTTTAATAAGATTAAGATAAAACCTATTGTAATAAAATTATTTCCAAACCCTACTTCTTCAAAACTTCACAACTAACTCCTCTTGTTCTCTTTTTTTTTTTTTTTTACATTTTTTTGCTATACAGAAATTCTTTAGCCAATAAGTCAATTTTCATATCAAGCTAATTCATAAGTTTGATTTATTTAATTATTTTATTTTCAATATTTTTTATTTGATAATTTTTATTTAAGATTTACCGTCTTAACCATTTTTTGTTAAAACCAACAAAATAAGAATAGGATCAAGTACCTAAAATTAACTATTACTTATTTATTTAAAAATTACTTTCTTCCAAATTATTTATGTTTTTTTTTTACTTAAATTCTTGTAAACAATCAAATTTTTTATTTGAAATTGCTTTTTCATTGAATTATTTATTGATATTGTATTTAATTTTTATGATAATTTTAAGAAATTACTTCCCGTTAATTATTTATTGGTAGTCTTTAATTTTAAGAAATTGCTTCCCCATGAAATTGTTTATTGGTAGCTCTTAATATTTTTTAGGGATTGCTTCTCGATTTTTATTATTATATTTATTAATTTTTGTTTATTGTTAAATATTTCTAAAACTTTTTTCATCTAATTTTTCTTATATTTTTGTCAAATAGACCATTATGTTCAACTCTACGCTTCAACTGATTCCGTCAATGTGGATGTCCACAGTATAAAGCAGAAATTAAAGATACACAAATTCGAGAAAGAGATGCACTACTAATGGAAAGTAATAAAACGAGAAGATATGAGAAACATACGGCCTCAGGTTTGCCGATGAGCTTGGCAACCGACGAGGTGGCTTCAGAGAGGATGGCGGAGGTGTCAACTCCATCCAGGTTCACGTTGGTTGAGAGGTTGAGGCAAGGCATCTTCTCTTTCTCAGCTTCGACTCGGGAGTACTCTTCACCTTTCTCCAACTACTGCCTCTGATGAGAGATATCAGAAAGAAACCCCGCCGATTTTCCACTCCCTTAGCTCCGCTACCCCTTTTAATTGTAAAGCGACCCAGGACCAGAACCAGCCAGGAGCAAGAGGAACCCAAATTGTCTAGTTACCAGAATGCCCCTCTCTGGGCCAATGGGCCCTTGCTCCTCTTGCCCTGGCTCTCCTAGGAAGCTAGCCTCGACCAAGAAACGATGAGAGCATCTCAGCTGTAGCCCATTTATATTTAATTTGGGCTGGACCCTTGCTGGTTCTCTTAAGTTTGTTGTCCTTTTCTACAAAATAAATGCACGACTTTTCATAATTTGATGGTTATTTCAAGCCAAACTTCTTCATATGCGTGTGCGTCTATATATATACACGTCTCAAAGCTTACGAAGGCATAGTCAGCATGTAAAAATCACAAATGCAGATCCTCTGTCAAAGTGGGAATGGTTCTCCTTTTGTCAAAGTTAATACAATTTGTTTGTGGACAAGTTGGATTTGATACTTCCATCAATAGCGTTTAGAATGATACAGAAACTGAAAGCTACGCTGATTTATTGGTAACATGATTAAGGAATTATATTTTGGAGATCTTAAGGCCCGCCGTTGTATCATAGACTTTGAGGAAAAACCGTGTTCTGGGGATAGACAACATGTTCTCTAAAATGGTGCCCAGAGTTGCAATCAACTTCCTCTTGACCTCTTTGTTAATGCCGCCCATTGAGACCACCTCGGCGTACGCAGCTGGGTCCTTGTTCCCGTTGAACGATATGGCCACTGATCCCTTGAGAATGACCATCACGAACTGCATGGAAATTAGAAGAAATGAAGATGAAACCAAGGTCTGAATTAGAAAGTAACAGAGCAAACTTAATGATCATCAGCTGCAGCAAGCCTGCAATAGTCAAATACAATGTTTTTCTTTTGGTCTGTCCACGTCGGCTTGGCAAGCGTTATTGCTAGTTTTATAGTGCCACAGAACACATGCAAGTTGTGAAACAAAATAAAAGACAGAGGATTGGTGTACAACAAATGGGACATAGCATTTGGTATTTGGCATCCGACATCCAGGTAGAGATATTACATCGTAAATGCGCGGGCCACCGACTTTTACCCGTTGTATGCTTGGATGCTTTCCTTTTTGTCGTAAAAAGTTTACTAGAATCCCATTTATGACCACCTTTTTCTGAACGTCAAAAAGTAAACGTGTGTTGCAGGCTTGTATCAGATCTGGTTTATGCTTTCATGGGGACCTGCTCTCCAATTATTGAACGCCTATGACTCCAAGTGACCACTTAGATGTACAGATGACTTGTTACTGTTCCTTGACCCTAACATCAACTAGGTAAATGGTAGCTAATCAAAGCTGTAGCATGGTTTCACCGATGTTTCAGACAAGCTTCTCATGTTGCTGCCGACAACAATATTTAATCCAAATACCAGGGGAAAAACTGGAAAGGCTGTATGTTTTGGACAAGTTTCAGATCTGCTCAGACCTTCTGCATATGATTAACACAGAAAGACAGAAGTCCACAGAAAATGAAATGCATGCAATTCGAAGCTATCCCGCACATCAGTTTCATATATGTCATAACCCCTGTTGCAAAATTACTCCAAAGTCATCTTTTAGTATCAAATTAAAGATTGTTCTGACTTGAAATCTGGGTTACCTAGCGGCTGGCTTCTCCTGAATTGATTATTTATCAACAATGTTGAAAAGTCAGGTGATTAACTTATCCAAAACAGTAGAATCCTGTACCCTTTTTTTCTCTTTGGACATATCCTACAGATACGAGCATCCAAAACATACAGGCAACACCCATATCAGTAACAGGGAAGTTTTCCGATGAAAACACCTGAACATCGAAAGTAATCTACGTGGTTTGGAAAAGGAAAAGCAGGATACAGAATGAAAATAGAAAAACACAATCTAATGATCTAAGAGAGCAGGGGAAGAGTTTACATTTTCAGGTTTTCCGATGATGGAAGCGATGGCTTTGGTGGTTTCGGAGAAGATAGGACCAGTGTCTGCCATGTCCAAGTTGAGGTTCGTTGAGATGTAAAGGCAAGGCATCTTCCTTTGCTTTTTGAGCAGAATTCTGATTGCTCTTGTGCAGGCGGTACTCACCTATAAGGTCTGGACAATTGTTCGTGGTTTATCCAAGCAAGCAGCTTGGCCTTTATATAGCCAATTTTGCCTAGGACATGATATTACTTTAATACTTTATCTTCAGGTAATGGAATCCTCTGTCTCGCCCACGTAGTCCCTCCTGTACATGATGTTCTTTTCATAAATTTAAATCGCATGTTCAATTATTGGATTTAAAGTTTCCAGATAAAAACTTTTATTAATAAAAGTAAAGTTAAACACTTAAAGTAAAATTATAAAATAAATATCAAATGAGGCACTAAATGAGTCGATTTTATACAATATTAAATATATTGACCCACCAAAAATTGCATGGTTTAACCATTCTAATCTAGTTAGATGACCATGACTAGGCTTCCATTTTGACTAAGATGCTACTAATTTTATATGTTTTCATGTAATTAAAGGGGAAAATCTATTGGACTAAGACTTTGAAGTAAACTCTAAATGGATGCATGGTCTATACTTACAAACAAACTTTATTTTCTAATATTCTCCTTGTGTATTTGAAGATTCAAAGACCAAACAAAATAGAAGAACATAACTTATGAGATGAATTATACAATCATATTCAAAGGTAGTTATAGTTTGAATTCTTCCCATCGCAAAAAATGGAATGAAAACTCTAGATACCAATTGAGTTTGAATACCAAATCAGGGGTCTACTTATTTCAATATTGGTGATAATGCCTTAATTTATTTATATTATACGAATAAATCGAAATCGAAACTTGAATAATTTATAAAAATACAAAAAACCCATTAAAGAGAAGGTAAATTGTATTTAATTTATTTAATAAAATTATCAAAATACTTTTGATTTAACCTGGATTTATTTATTAATATGCAAAAATAATGATATAAAACTCTATATAAAGTGGTTTAAGTCGGCCGCATCAGCTTGTGGAAAGAATGAATACTTTGAATTGACCGTTTGTTATATTCGTCACGTGATAAAAAAAATACCTGCCTTAAATTTCATGAAATAACACTGCCAACATAATAATAAATACTATAAATAAATAACAAATTGGGACTTGAAAAAGACCCATGGGTTGGGTTCAGCCACTCTACAGCTCAACTCGGAACTGCTTTAGCTGACCCTAACCCTTTTGAGCACGCGCATGGACCCTGGTCCATGGTTTCATGGACCACCAATTCACCAATGACTTCACCATTTTTTTTTTAAGCATTCAATAAAATAAAGAAAATGAGATAAAAAACAATTTTTTAATTAATACATTAATATAAGTTTAATACAAAATTTATTAACTAGGGTAATTGTAAATTTTCTCGAAAGTCATATAAACTCGAGTCAAACTTCGAGTTAATTAAGTTTTTTCGTTGTAAATTAGAAGATGTTAACTTAAAAAAAATGAAATTTATTTTTTTTGAGTAAAAATCTACCAAGTAGATGTACCCTATACTTTAATTGCAAAGGGAATTATTGAATAATGGTTGGTGGAATGTACTTTTCTAAGTGGTAGGCTCGACAGCCTACATTCTACAACAACTCCCATTTATTGTTAGCTTGGATTGAATTCTCACTTTCTAAAGTTTGGGGTTTCTACTTTTTCATTGTTTTTCTGTACTTGGTTAAATTAATAGCCTTAGGCACATGCCAATATAAATAGTAACACAACCACTAACTTTATTTTATTTCATAAATTAAAACTACAAGAAAAAAATTTAATCCCATATAGACAATAAAGATTTAAGTCATATGTTCATCGTGTCGTCTCTAATAAAGAATTAAATTATCTAATCATGAATACTTTATTTTAATATATGTAATTATCATATTGAAAACGATAATTTAACAAAAATTCTGTTTTTATAACATGATCAAATATAGCTTCGGACTTTGAAACTATAAAAAAGTATATTAGAATTGGTTTTGTTCGAAGTTGGCTTACTGATAAATGATTTTTAAACTTGCCCTATTCTCAATCAAGCGAATCAATTACACTTTTGATAGTATAAAATACTTAAAAAAAATAAAAGAATTTATAATTTAGATAAAACTCAAATTTTTTAAAAAATGGAATATGTAGTGGAATATCAATTATTCTTAATTTCCTCTAACTTGATTGTATGCCATATAGTATTGTAAGTTGATTTTTTGTATTCATTCTCTTTTAATATTTCTCTGGGTTTTAAATTCTTATTTTTTTAATTACTCTTATCATATTTTTCTCACTTATTTGTTATTCTTCTTTGTAATTTAAATCATTTCAATAAAAATAATAATTTTATTTTACTTATTTTACTTCCAAAAATAAAATGGAAAAATGTATTTCAATATAAAAATTCCATAATTTTCCAAAAGGTCAAAGTAAAGGAGAATAAATGTATTACACTATACCATAAAGTAATTAAGTAATTATATTGGAATTAATATTTTATTTTAATGATTATTCATTCATTTTAATTAATTAATATTATCATTATAATTATATTTTTTTTATTTTTTTTATCATATAAAAAGTGTAAAAAAATAATACTAGGAATAAATATAAGAAAAATTGGCCGAAAAATAGATGGAAGAAAATGGTGCAGTCTAGGCGGGAAACGAAAGTCCGTTGGGCTTTGGTGGGTCGATTTCGGAAAGGCAAAGCGGAAAATTCCCGGTAATATTCCCGAATTCAAAATCCTTTTCCATGGTCGCAGAGCTCGAGCGTAGGAGTTCAGTTCACGGTAATCGGCGATGGAGCAGCTCGTGATGAACTCAATCGAACAATCCCTCGACAATAATCAGCCACTCTCTTTTCAAACCCTAGCGTCCGTCAGATCCCTCGTTATCAACCCCAGCACCTCCGATTCCACGCTCTCTTCAGTCCTTGACGCCCTAACTCGCTCTCTTCAACTCACTCGCGACTCCGTCTTCCTCCACCACGTCGTTAAGCTCCTCACCGACCTCTCCTCTCGCCGCCCCCACCTATCCCCTATTGCCATTGATTTGCTCCGTTCCAACTCGCTCTTCACCTCCTCCGATTCGCCTCGCCTCGTTTGTGAGTCACTCTCCGCACTCGTTTCACTCACTTCATCCCAAAACGGCGTTGACGATGCTCGCTTCGTGTCTCTCTGCCTCGGTCCTTCTGTTTCCGTACGGCTATGGCTATTGAGGAATGCGGAGAAGTTTGCAGTGAGGGGTTCGGTGTTATTAGCTGTGTTTTTAGGGTTTACGAGGGACCCGTATCCGTATGTGAGGAAAGCAGCTTTGGATGGATTGGTAAAATTGTGTGAGAAGGGTGATTTTGATGATCGTGATGTTGCTCAGGGATGCTATTTCCGTGCTGTTGAGCTGCTTTGCGACGCAGAGGATTGTGTCAGATCTCCAGCAGTTCGTGCAGTAAGATTCTCTGTCCTAGCTTCTTTGTTAGTTTACGATGCGCTTCATAATTAATTGTGAATTTGTACAATTTCTGATTTATCTCTCTTGTCTAATTGTTTTTAAATTTAGGTCTGTGATTGGGGTAAAATGATTGTTGTATCCACTGAAGAGTGGAACAAACAAGACTTGGCAGATGCAGTATTTATCCAGGTATTTTAGAAAAGAAAAAAGAAACATTAAATTTGGAATTGATGTTTGATTTAGTAGTAATATGTAGTGCATGAATATGTTGGGTAGTGTAATTTTAATTCATGCCAACTCTAAATATATAGGATTTTAAGCATTTTCCCCCCTCTTATTTGTTTTTCCTGAACATATGCTTGCAGCTCTGCTGTATGGTAAGAGATATGAGTATGGAGGTAAGGCTTGAAGCCTTTGATGCCCTTGGGAAGATAGGACTTGTATCTGAAGATATCTTGCTGCAAACCGTGTCTAAGAAAGTCCTAGGGATGAACAAAGAAAAAATTTACAAACCAATTGAAGGGCTTGAAATTTCAGCTTCTGGTGCTGCTGGAGCTTTTGTACATGGGCTTGAGGATGAGTTCTCTGAGGTAAGATTTGCTGATTTGGTAGCTATGCTTGGTCTTATTACTTGTATGATTGTTTTGTGTTAGAAAGAGTGGTATTCTGTTTCGACTTTTGGCCTTTTTGGATCAACTTGCTCATGTATCACAGTCCATATCTAAGCAGTTTGCTAGCACTTTGAGGGTGCAGCTTGGCATGGTTCTTCCAGTTTTATGTACCAATATATTGACTCTGAATGTGTTTATATTTGTATATGATTAAATTAGTTAGGAGCCTTAGTTTGATAGGGTAGACACATAATGTAGAGAACAACAATATTATGACAGCCATGCATAGAAATGTGGTCCACACGTTGACTTATCTGAAGTTAGGCCATGTCTCTGCAGTTCAAAGGCAATTTCCCCCTTGGCATGGCTTTTGTTTATGATGCTGTCTGTGCTTAATCTGAAGGTACGAATGTCTGCCTGTTACTCTTTGCGTACGCTCACTGTCTTCTCTTTGCGATTTGCTGGTGAAGCCTTAAACCTGTTGATGGACATGCTGAATGATGATTCGACAGTTGTCAGGCTACAAGCTCTGGATACAATGCATCACATGGCAACTGGCGATAATCTAAAAGTTGAAGAAATACACATGCACAGGGTAGGGTTTTTCTCTTTTCTTTTCGCACACATAAATTTATCAATCCTCACCTCTTAACAGTTGTCCCATTCAAGGCAGTTAATTTAACATGCAAGTTACTCTTTGAGTTATTACGAAGAACTTTCGTCGTTTATGTTTCTCTCCTAGTCTCTCTCTTTTTCTTGGTGAAGCCATGGCATTTGTAAAATTGCTGTTCTTTCAAAGGAGTTTTGACTCCGTTTCCTGTTAGGTTATGGTACATAACTATATAATTCTTCTCTATACAGGTTTCTCCTGTTTAAATGATAGACTTCATATTAACCATCATTTTTTGCCTGATTTGGCAGTTTCTGGGAACCCTTTTTGACAGCAGTTCTGCCATAAGATTTGTGACAAGGAAAATACTCAAATTAGCAAAGCTACCAAAGTTGGGGTTGTTTAAATTGTGTATTGATGGCCTTCTTGGAAATTTGGAGACATATCCAGAGGTTGTTTCTCCTTTTTTCAGTTTGTACCTTCAAGTGGCTTTTTGGGCTGCATCTTTTATTTTTTTCAGTTTGTGTATTACTTGATTCCCAGCAGCTTTATCTATCTGTTGCTGCTTTTCTTTTCCACTTATTTGTTTAAGTCGTTTCCAGGATGAAGTTGATGTCTTCTCCGTTTTGTTTCATATTGGGAGAAATCATGGGAAGTTCACCGTTTGCATGATTGAGGAGGTTTCTTCAGAGGTTAGCTTGGTTTTAAATAAACTTTTTTTGTGTATTGCTTCTACTTGGTGGCCTTACCTGCTCAACTATAAGAGTAATGGTAGCATTAAAATATTATGAGCAAGCTTTCTTAATTAAAATTTGTTAGAATTAACATGCTTGTTAGGAATACTTTTTTAGGATTTTAAATTTGCAGACAGTTATTGTTAGTTTCCCTTCTTTACATGTTGTTAGTGGCATTAGTTGTCAGTTTAATTCCTTGTTCAGTTATGTTTTTCTCTTTTGTACTAGAGCTTTAAGAAGCCTAGATATTCTGTAAGAAAATGAAACTCCATTCAGCCTCTGTTTTGCTGATATTCTTATCCTAAGCCTTTTTCTAAATTTTTATCTTTTTCTTTCTTGATTTCTTTATCAAATTTATATAGTGAGAATTCACATATCTTCCGAATGATGCATCAGTTGTTTTTTTGCACATAGAAGTTTATGTTACCATGAATGTTGCTAGTGCATTTGGGCAGAATTGACCAATTATTAAATAATTTCAGACCCCTAACAAACAAAACTTTTCTAAAATAACAAATTAAGAAATACATGTGCATTCATGCTGAATTCAATAAATGAAGTTAACAAAGAAGTTAAGCAATGTGGACATCTCAATATTGCTGTTATGTTGGGCATCCCCCCACTATTTGTTATCTTTGTTCTTTTCTCTCCTAGTTTGCCATGTAAGTACTTGTCAGATCAAATGACATTGATTTTTGAATCTGTTTACCCTCTTATTTTTTGCTTCAGCTGGAGCCAGCTTTTGGAGGCAAATTGGGCTTTGATAGTACAAAAATAGCAGCATTTCTAGTGCTGGCCATCTCAGTTCCACTGTCACATGAAAAGGATGCTCGTGGTGTTCCAGCTAGGATATTCTCTTATGCAGTTACATGGCTGGGGAGAATCTCTCATGCTTTAAGTGATCTTATGAGCCAAGAAACGCTTTTGGCTTATTTATCTGAGTGCAGTAGATCCTCTACCATTTCTCTTGCTGACTTTAAAATAAAAGACGCATTGCCAACAGTGGAAGGTGATATGCCATCTCATCTCTGTTCTGACATTGGTAGTCCTGTCAGAATTCCCTTGTGGCAACAAGATGGAGAGACCTCCGACCATCATCATACGAAATTGTGGAGTTTAGGGAAGTCAGCTACTCATGCAGAATATGAGCTGGGGGAGCATGATGAATTAAGAAAGTCTTTAAATCTTATCTTTAGAAAGGTTAAGGACTTGTGGCCATTGGTACAATTAGGCTGCACAAATGAAGCATTGAAGGCTATAAGGCAAGTAATGTAGTTAATTATTTTTCATTCCTTTACGCATTTTATTACCATATATGAGCCAGAGATTTGTGTCTACTGACAAGCAACCCTTTCCTGCCTTTTCAATAATCTTGTTTTATGGAGTGCAGTTCTGTTTTGTGATATCAATTATTCTTTAGTGATCTGTACAAGACATTAAATATTAAACATGTGGATTTATCTATCTCCTTCTCATGCATAACCAAATTAATGATACATTTTGTGAGAACCAATATCATTAGTTGTGTCATCTTGGACTTTCCATGTACCATATGTTTGTTTTCTTATCTTTGGCTCAAACAGGGCATGTAAGGAAGAAGTGGCATCATATACTGCAGAGTCCCCAGGATCTGCTGGTGCTGTAGCATTTACACTGCAGTATCTCCGAGTTACAAAATTGCTTGTTGCAGTTTGGGAGCACCTTATGCTAACAAAAAGGCTTAATCCCTATGGAGTGGGAAAATTAGAGCTTCTATTAGCAAAATTAGACAGGAGGCTCAGAGAAATCAACAACAGGTTCATCGGCTTGTCCAAAGGAGAGGAGTTGCAAATCATGGAACTGATAGTTGTGGCTTGTCTTTTGAGGTTGTCCAAAGTCGAGATCTGCTGTTATGAAACTGCCATGAAAAAGTTGTCTTCTACAATTTCCCATGTAGAATTTCTCCACAAGGAGGGATCCATTGAACCATCTCATTTTATAGTTGAAGTCAAGAAATCATTACATGACGTTGGCTCATCAATTGGTGGTAACACCTTTAAGCCACTTCTCTTCAAGAAGTTAGTCGACTCCTTCTCTTTTGAGCAGTTTGTGTTATGTGTAAGTCCTAGGTACCTAAATGCAGAACTGGAAGTTCCTGGTAATGATTCTGAAAATCCTCTTCCTTTTATCTCGGGAATCCCTGCTTCTATACCACTTGTGATCACTTTGCATAACATTTTGAGCGATAACAGGCTGTGGCTTAGGATAAGTATGAGTGAGGAGTCAACTCAGTTTGTTTTTTTAGATTTGAACCTAATCAGAGGCAATAATGAGGTTAGGAAATTCACCTTTGTGGCTCCCTTTTATCTAACCCCAAAAGCAGTTTCCTTTACTTTGCGGGTTTCTATAGGAATGGAATGCATGGGAGAGACTCTTCATCTAGTCAAAACCTTTGGGGGTCCTAAATGTGAGCTAACATATCTTTCCCCCGAGAAAGAGATTTTTCTTTGTAAGAGCACTAAATGTTGAGTAAATCAACTGTCTTTTCTTATTATCACTTTGGCATGACATTTATTAAGGTACACACCATATGCTAGGACCAATATATTGCTAGCTTGAAGCTTGATGATAGTGTGGGTCATAGATAATAATGACAATATGAGAAATAACTATGAAATTGATTATGAGATTGTATTTCCACATTATAACAAAAAACATTTGTTGCTTTCATCCCATAGGCTTACAAAAAACTTAGCTGAGATGAAGGTTTCATCGGTGGCCAGCGAAACTATTATGTAAGCTTCCACCTCTCAATCCATGTCTATATGTTTATGACTTCAAAGCAATAGCTGATAAGAAGCACCTTTTCCCAACAGCCTTGGTGGTTTTCAATTCCCATCCCTGGCCCTCCTTGAAACATTCCACCTGTTAACAACATTTCAGTAAATCAAAAAACACAAAGCAGTAACTGATGCACCTATATAATGAATGGGATGTAGAAAAGGAACATACAGAGTCTACAATGTCTTCACCAGCTCTCAGGCCACCAATAACATATATTGATCCTTTTACCACAGCAGCAGCCGCATATCCCCTGGCCTGGTTAATCGGTTCCCCACTCATCCATGATCCGAGACGCGGATCAAATATTTCAACGCTTGGAACCATTTTAGTACCATCAAAACCACCGATAGCATACCTATCAAAGGAAGCAGTTCTCATTAAGAAGATAATTTTTCACTTCTATATTGCTTTTCCGGATAATTAGGGTTAATAACCTGAGGCATGAGATTGATTACGTAATATGGTATATGCTATGCAATGCTCCTGATCACATCAAGGAAGCTGATTACTTACAAACCCAAGTTTTCTTTAAAGAACGGAAAAATGGTTACTTTCAAGGCAAAGCATAGCCCTGGACATGTTTAAGGTACCATATGTGCAATCTTCCGGATTTGTATTAGGCACAATAGAGCATTTTGTCTGGAACATCCACAAACAGGGCCATCTCTCTCACTGTCAACTGAAGCTAATAATGATATGAAAATAATGACAAGAAAAAAGCTTACAGTCTTTCATCCAAAACAGCCAGAGAGTGGCAGCCTCTCTTTGTGCTCATGCTTGCAATTTTGGTCCATGAATGCTCTCTGGGGTCAAATCTTTCAGCAGACCTGATGCAGTATCAAATTTTAGTTAAACTCTGAATGTTCATGGCTTGGGTGAATGGATCCACAAACTAATTCATGAATATACTAATGGGTTCATGAAAGCAACCATGTGTGAATGTTTACGTATGTATGACAGTGTATGGAGAAAAACAGAAAACAAAATGGCATCACAACTTACTTCAGGTAATCATTCCCATCATATCCACCAGTAGCATAAATTGTGCCATTAAGTTCCACAGCAGCAAGAGCAAATCGCTGCAAAACCAAGTTCGGGTAAAATTTAGCATTAATAACTTATACATAAGTGATGCATGTTATAGAAGAGTTGCATAATTCAAGGATGCTGAAAGCATACATGCAACACAACAAATGCAAGGTGCATAAATTCCAAACAGAGGCACATCATACCCTGAAAACCTGATAAAAGATGACTCCTCACTTCCGTAAATCAACCAAATAATAAACCCACTATTAACCATATTATTTCTTTTAATGGGAGATATTAATCAGAAACTAAGGGCATCCCTAGTCCTGAAATTGAAATTTTAGTACTTTAAGTTATTATTACCTTCTTGAAGGACATTCTTCAAATATATGCATATTATCTCTCTCAACGCTGGGAAAATGTCAAAACCTTAACCAAAAGGAAAAAGTCAAGCACAACATTCACCTTTTGCAGCATTGACCGTGTGTTGATCCATCGTCCAAGAATTGAGTCGAGCATTTCAACATCTGCAAAGCATTGAACCCCATTCCCACCACCGATTGCAAATATTTTTCCATCCAATGCAGCTCCAGCTAAACTTCCCTTCTTGTCCTTTAGGGAAGGGCAGAGGGTCCACTGATTCCTTGAGGGGCTATATGATTCAACTTCATAAAAAACATAACAGCCACATGAGACATAAGAAAAAATTTAGTTAGAAGAACAAGTAGGAAATTAGGACAAGCTAATACCTGTATCATACCATGAATAACCATCTCCACCACCAAAGACATACAGATCACCATTCAACTGTGCAGTTGAAGCATATGAACGAACAGAACTCATGGGGTGAACAGATTTTATCACATCTTGAGATGGGAAATACGAATCCAATGCTGCTAACCATGATTCACCATCATATCCTCCCACTAAAAATATTGACTCAGTAGGATCCAATTGCAGCTCCTCAGAAGACTCAATTGCCTGTCCATTAACATGTTCAACAGAATCATTGGACAAGGATTCCAGCATCAGACAACGAACTTTTAGTTTTTGAATTTCCATTTCTGCTGCAACCTGAAAGGCCAGAGTTGTAGGTATTATCCATTGCACTGATCGGAATTAAAAACAAGCTCTACATGCACAATTTTCAGTTACTATTATAGATATAGAGTACTTCCTTTCTTGCAACAAACTTGGTAAAAGCACCTTTCGTTTCAACATGTAGAGTGGATTTCTAGGGCATTAATGCAATTTAACATTCTACCTTATCTAAAAGTATTCCTTAATATGCTTCAACCTAATACAGTCAAGAACACTTTTGGTCCATGTGAATATAGATTAAAAGGCAGAATGTTTCATTATTCTGAAATCCATCATCCTAGACTGGGGTATTACAGAAGATGGATCAATCAACACAGAAATAGCGGCAAAAATAAGAGCCAGCAGAGCCAGAATTTAAAAAGTCCACAGCCAGAGTAATAAGAAGAATTTGTAGTGAAAATTCTAGTCACTTGAAAGCTTAAAACAATGGTTTTGCTCTTCCAATTGTTTATTATATTATAAATCTTGTCAGACAAGAAAAGAAAAGGAAAGAGAGAAAAAGAAGTGCGGTGCAATTTGTACCAGTTTTTGCTCCATCTGAATCATCTTCACGGATTGTTCTGCTTTAAATGTCCTGAGCTCTTCCATCCCTTGAATCAACTACAAAACAAGTAGATAAACAAATGAGAACAAAACGTTGTCTTATTTAAATTTTTTTTAACCAAAAAAAGGACCAAATCTAACAGAATCCTTCCCGGTTCTCTGTAAAACATATCTGAACAATAGAGGTTCTCAAACACCTGAGCTATGACGGATTGACATTGAGATGAAGAACAGGCAGCATCTTCAGTCTCTGGCACCAAATCCATTTGCTCCCTTGAGGAAACACTATCTTCAAAGTGTGTCCCTTTCATAACAGTGGAATCTTCCACATTATTCATCAAAGAAACATCTTGGTCTTTGCGTTTTTGAGCCAGTTCTTTCAGTTTAATCAATATAAAGTCTTTCTCATCTTGTCCTGTTGTCTTTGCATCTACATGAGCTTCCAGTGAATCAAAAGGAGTAAAATCTGTAGAATCTGATTTTCCACTTGACTGACTAAAATGCTCAACCTCTTGAGCTGGGGGCTTATATCCTTCATCTGCTACTTTTATTTCATCGAAATAAACATCTGTATCTGATTTTTTGCTTGAATGATTAGAATGCTCCATCTCTGTAGCAAGTTGTCTAAAACCCTCACCTTCCCCATTTGTGCCAGTTGAAGGAAGAGCTTGGAAGATATTTCTCCACTTTGCTGTATTATGAGGTAGATAAGTGCTTGGAGAAACAGCTAAAGAAGCTAATAAGGACATCAATTTACTTGTTTGAGTATGGTCTAGCTCAAACCAGAAATGATTACGGCAGTAATAATTGTCTGCAATAATAGGTCTAAATTGTTCTTCAAGCAGTGGTTGGCAGTGTAGTCGAACGCGAATCTGAACCTTTAATTCAGAAAACAAAAATATCAGCAACAGATGGAAGCAAATTAAAAAAAAAAAGAAGAGAGATTAAACATTAAGGAACGTTATAGGAATACTTGTGCAGGATATTGTGTTTTCTCTGAACCATCAGTAGTCCATCCATATGGGTTGATGTTCATCTGACCACGGCTGGCAGCCTCAAAGATTCCATGTAGTTTCCGATCAGTGTAGTTGAACAGAAACAATGGCAATCCTGGATCGATGTTTTTCACAAATGAAAAGTGTTGTGCTGGTAAGCCTGATAAAAATCAAACCAACAATTACCATGGCAGTCAAAAGTTCATTCTGAAAAAAAAAACGAAGCCAAAGAAACTAATCTATCTGTAAATGTTCTTAACCAAAAGGAAACCCAATTTAATGGGATTGGAAAGGGAAAACAAACAGGTAACTGAAAAACAAGTGGCGGAAAAAATGCAACTGAAATGGAGATGGCATACCAAAAAGCTGATTGAATAGACATTCTTTGAAGGTGCTATCCTTGCAACCGAATATGACACCACCAAGCTGACTCTTCCTCAGATTTCTAGCAGCCACATTGCTGTTCGTCAGGTTTGGAGTATAAGGTGCATTTCCATTAACAAGGAATGTCTGCGGCTTCCTCCCCGTTCCCATTCTGTGATACAAAAATCCAAATATGAATTAGAAAACGGAAAAGCTTTTCTGATCAGGGATTATTGACAGTTCAAATCACACATATGAAAAAGGCAATCTTAACTATACCCTACTGTCACTAATGCTACTAAGCAAAGTTCACACTAATAACCATGGTTTCTACATGCTGATATCAGTAAATTCCTAATGATTAAAATGATGAGACAATACATGAAGCACAAAAACCTCAAGCAAAGGGCTATAATTAATCCAAGACACAATCTTTAATCACCAAAATGAAGAAAAAATAAAAATTTCTCAACTTTCGTGCACAATATATAACCTTTACAATTTCATTAAGAAACAGCTGCAAATTCATTAAGCACAATGTAAGAAAAAGTGGTGGAATTTAGAGAGCCAAAACACACTTCAGAAGCAAGCTTAACAAACATGATAGTAATTTACTTAAAAACAAAGAGCAAGAAGAATCCGATGAACCACTTAATCCACTAAAAGCAGCGAAAATGAAAACAAAAAAGAAAGAAATAGCAATCCATCGGGTTTGGGACTCTAGAAAGCAAAAGGAAGAGCGAGTTCATCGTGTGCATCAAACCGATTAATCACATTCTCGATAAAAGCTTGCAAGAAACAAAAAAATGGAAGCTTTGAAGCAAAAAGGAGAGAGAATCGTACAGTGGGGAGTGAAGTTTGAGTGTGACGGTTGGTTTGGTTTGCAGCAAAACACAAACTGAAAGGCTTCGCCGAGGAGGCTCTCTCACACAAAGCGCGAAACAAGAAATGCCTGCTTTAACAAAACAAAAGTGCCCATCGCCCGCTGCCCCAGTAATCCTTTTTTAAAGCAATTGCACATCGACGGCTCATTTTACCACATGCCATGCCATTTGTCAAATAAGGTAAACACTTCTAGTGCTTTCTTTCTTTGCTCTTCTAGGCAAAGAGTTGTTGCGTTAGAATTGGGCAAGTAAATTGGAAGTAAAGAGGAAATGAAATACACCCACTAGAGAAAGTTGTTTCCTTTTTACCTTCATGCCTGGAGCATGAAGAAAAACACACTTGGGTCTTTACTGGTTCTAGACAATAAATAGAATTCTGGATGACAAGTCCAACCCAGTTCTTGGTTTGGATGGTGGGTAGACCTGTCAATATGGGTCGGGTCGGTTCAACCCGGTCTTAATTTTTATGGGTTGAAAAAATATGAACAGGGTCGGGTCAGTCCATATTTTATATGGGTTACAAAATGTTCAACCCAGCCCACCCCTTGCTAGCCCATGAGCCGGGCCGGGCTAACCTATTTTTTTCAAAAAAAATTATTTATATTACTCATCAATACAAATATATAACTATTCTATGATTTAGTCCATAAATTAA